CAACAACATCACTATTCACAACTGAGAATCCAGCATTCTTTCAAGACCAAAACGTCATAGATATAGTAGCAGTAATAATAACATTAATTATAGTATTAGGAATAACAACCTTTATCATAATTTTTTGTATAAAGAGCAAAAGAAACGAATTAGCAAGACACAATAAAGAAAAAGAAAACGAAAATATTGCTAACCAAGTAAAAGCAATAACAGCAACACTTTAATGAACAAGTACATAGCTAAAGAACCATACAAAGGATTAGTGCTTGAATTATTACAACCAAAAAAAGAACCTAAATATATTAAAGAAGTAAACCAAGAAGTCAAAGAACCAAAAGTTAGAATACCAAAGGATTATTCAGTAAAGAAATTCTTACTAGAAACCTGGAAAAAACAACTTAGAACAAATATAATCCAAACAGAAAACCTTATCAAACTACAGAAATTAGTAATTGAACTACAAGAACCAAACGAACTCATTGTAGAAATAGGATCAAAAATCTGAGAAAAAGGAATTAACAAAAATAAACTCTAATGTTTACTTGTGATAGAGGAAGCCAAACATATTATTCAAACTTCCTAGCATACTATTATAAATACGGATCAAAAGAATTATCTTCTTTAGAAAAATAAGAACTCAAGAAAGCAAAAGAAAAACTGTTAGTCAAACTACAAGAAGTAGGACAAGAGGTAACAGAAATAATCGAAGAAGAAAAATTAACCAGAGTAAATATAACAGTAGCTCCAAATACTACTCCAGCACCAACTACAATAAAAGTAAAAGTAGCAAGAAGAAACAGATTTATAAGAACAATATCTAAAGAAGAGTTAGCTTGCCTAATAATTTATATTCACGAACTACAAGATTACTCAACATATAATCTAGCAGTACAACAATCAGGAATTGCTGAAACAAGAATACAAGATTATCTAAGAAACGCCAAGATAATAAAACCACAAATATATTAAAATGGCACAACCAGAAGTAAGATTTCCAAATTTAAATCATTATATGAAATCAGAAACTTCAACAGAGAAACAGCAGAATATATTCAATGAAGAAATGAATTAGAAATAAAATTTACTGAAATGGGAATGGATAATACACTAACCATATTTGGAAGATTTAGTGGAAATCCAGACTTAGGATATACCATGCAACAACCTGATTATGATTCAGCAGCAGACTTGCCAAAAGCATACTGGAACATGGAATTCTTCAAAAGAATAAAATCAGTAATATATACAAAATTACATG